AAATGCAGCGAGTTGTTCTCCCTGAGCCAGAGGTACAGATAGAGTCCTTAGAGCTGCCCCACCTCTGGCCTTCCTCCCGCACACACGTTGTGAGCACCTGGGGGCAGCCCACTGCTGCAAATGGGCTGGAGAAGACCAGACAGTTAAGCTGATTTCTGAGCCAGCCGATGAGACTCTGGCAGCCAGTGGCATCTCGTTTTCCTACTTATCCCGGGAAAGATCAATGCCCATGGTTGTCTGTCAACAAGGGAGCGAGTGGAAAACTGTTCTGTAACCGAAGAGATACTTCCCAGGGGACAGGTGCGGAAAGAACATTTTCACACGAGAATACAGAGCTCCTGTGTGATCTGGCTTTTAGTTACTTCTCCTCATTTGAGTCATTTATTGGTCCAACAGCTATTTACTTAGAATTTACTGGGGTGGGTGCTAAACCGTAGCGAATGAAAACAAATTCCTTCAATGGAATTTAGACACCCACACATAGAATGTGATGTAATGACAATCGTGTCTCACAGGAAAGGTGTCTTGGGCTCTGAAAGAATGAAACGAAGGCACTTGACCGAGTAAAGGCAGGCAGCCTGGTGGGGCAGTGGGGCTGCCAACCCAAATGCTCTAACTCCCCAGTGGCTGGGGTGGGGGGACCCATGGCAGTCTAATTCCAGGAAGATTATAGCCTGGGAAACCCTACAGAGCAGCGCTGCTCTGTTCCTAAAATATTTGGGATTGGACCTAATTAGAAAGATCAGGACCACGCTGGGGACTGAGGACAAAGCAACCTAGAAAAGAAAAAGGGGGTTCCTACCTGAGGGACCAGTGAGAGAAAACTACCCCCAACCTCAGTCAACATTGATGCTCTTCTGCGTTATCCCCATACCGTCTTCCATAACCTCAAAGCCCAAACAAATCCAGAGCTACCAGCTTGATCCCAATGCACAGTGATCCTACAGAACAGAGCAGAGCTGCTCCTTTGCGAGGCTCTACATCTCCACACGAACAGGGCATCGGCAGCCTCAGCCTTCGCCCGTGGAGTGGCGTCGGGTTCCAACTGCTGTCCATGAGTGGCAGTTCCTGGTAACACCCTGAATCGCCTGAGGGCCTTTGCCTCCCGTCTAACCTTCTATTACTAACCTCCTCCACATCCACCCTCACCCCCTTTCTCTGCACCAACTCCTGCACATCCTCTTTGTCTCCGTTTAGGTGCCAGTTCTTTGGGACATCTGAGTGGCCCAGAGCCTGGATTCGATGCTCCTCAGTGCATACCCTTTTATCACACATGTGTTTGCCCTGTCTCCATGGTTAAGGTGCAAGCTCCGTGGGGCAGAGATTAAACGTTCAGCATGTTGCAAGCGTCTACCACATTGCGCTGAGTTCTTAATAAATAGTCACAGAAAGATTGACGGATAGAAAGGATAAGAGAGGAAGGGAAGGAGGGAAGTTTATGTGAATCAGCTGATGATACTTCAAAATAATGATAGCTAACATTTATTTCAATGAGTTTGAATTGGTTTTTTATTTCACTACACAAAATCATAGAAACTTTTATGAAAGAAAAATATCAAAATGTGAAGACATCATTTCTTCATGTTTCCTCCATCTAGGTCTATACACTTCTGAAGGCTATGTCTCCATCTCTCTAATCCTTCCTGGAGGATTCTACCCCAGCGACCTACACCACCTCAAAACTACTGTGTTGATAGCCCTGGGGATCCCAAAATCATGTTCCTTTTAAATTGTCTTTAAGTTTGGGGCACAAGAAGAAGTCTGAGGGGCAGGATCGGGAATGTAGGTAGGGTGGATGGGCATGGCTCCCCACGGAAATTCTTTCACAACAACTTTTGCAGCCCTCTAAAATAAGCAGATGCGTTACACCAAGGCACGGGGATGGGGGGGGATGGGAGAGTGGATCTGACACACAACCTTCTTGGACTTTTTCTCACCAATGTAGTTTTCAATTTTACAAAAACTTCTTCCTCATAAGCTGCTGTGCTCACCCTGTGTCCTTCAAAATAATCTATCCAGATAGCTCTTTGGGTTCCCCCCAAAGCAATCATGATCTTCTGAACGGACCTCTCTGCCTTGACCGGAGCTTCGCTGGCCCCGTAGGTCTCCTCCGAAGCCACTGCTTTGATTGGACCTTGTTGTAAAGGCAATATGCTGAGACTAAGCCATGTGCTTTACTGAGAAAACGCGTCTTTATTCTTTCACTGATGGCAGAGGCCTGTTAGACACGCCTTGTTTAGAATAAACCCTTCCATGTATGAAGTGGCACCCAAAAAGGAACACTTTTTTTGATTTACCCTCATGTGCTATGCATACTAAGCTGAGCATGCTAATATTTTAGCCATCATTGAATTCTTTCAGTAATCCGATGTGATATATACTATTACTCGCTCTATCTTGCTGAACTTCTTGATGCTGCAGTGTCCTTATCTGTACAGAGGAGAGAGTAATAATAATGATGCCATAAATGTGTGAGGACTACAGTAAAGAAGCAAAGGGCACACACGGGCAGGTGCTGGCATGAACGGCCGGATGAAAGCCCTTTGTTTACCAGGGCGAAGGCAAGCAGCTGCAGGCCTGGCTCTGAAGACTGCAACGTCCTCAGGAGGAGGAAGAACAGTTCACGGAGCCTGAGGATGGCCTGGGAACAGGACAAAAGACTCTCGCTGTTGGAAAACTCCCCTTTGAGAGCAGAGACCTATGCGACCCTTCCTTCTACACTCCTTCCTGTAACCTTCAGAGAAAGTGTCCCAAACAGGGAACGTGTAGAAGTGGAGGCCTAACTCTGTCAAGAAAACTTCCCTCTTCATTGTAGCTTAGTTTTCCAATAGCTTTCACTATGGGTGGCTGTGTTAGGCTGGCTTACAAATCCAGAAACACTCATATGTGTAAGAGAGAGTTTTAAATCAAAAAGTAATTGCATATCAAGAAAACATCCCAGCCCAGTCCAGATCAATCCTAAAAGTCTGATATTAGCCCCTATGTCCGACACTAGTCAATAAATTCCTTTTCAGACCCATGCAGCACAAGCAATGCTGCGGAATCCAGGAAGATGTGGGTGGATGAAGAGTCTCGTGGCGCAGGTCTCCACATGGCTGCTCCTGCTCTGAGTGTCGCTCCTCAAGGCTGCTCCACATGGCGCATCAACAAGAGGGTGAAGCACAGAGAGAGGCTCTCCCCGTGGCTTGTCGGGATTGTTTCATAATCTATTGTCACTTTGAGACTTATGATTGAAGGGGTGGAGTTTAGCTGTCAATCAGGTCACAGTTTGATGACCTCATTTGGAGGCGCTAAGGAGATAAATAGCTCGTTGGAGGCAGGACACCCACTGACTCCCTGGGAGGCATTGCAGCTAACAGGACACATGAAGCTACACTAGTGGCCTCAGCTGAAAGAGCCATGTGGATGCCCCTGCCACCGCTAAGATGCCTACAGTGCCACTGGATCCACGAAACTTCCCACCAACTGGCCTGTCACCTTCCTGCATGTGGCATCATTGCATGTGTTTCGTGCATCTGAAGAGGACTTTAAAGATTAGTATTGGGCATATGGGCTAATATCGGACTTAAGGGCTTGATCTGGACTGGTGGGGGACGTTTTCTTCATGTACAATTACTCTGTATATAAAGCTCTTTCTTATACACATATGAGTCTCCCTGGATGTGATTCTCTCATCTAACCGGACTAACGCACTTGTGAACAGGAAGACGAAGGTAGAGAGAGAGAGGGGGGGGAAGTTCCCAGAATCCTCAAGAGAAGGTCATGCCCGCAAGGGGGCATCATCAGGCCTGACCTGATTGACAGGCTACACTTCACCCCTTCACTCTTAATACCCTCAAGTGGACATGAGATTATGTAACTACCATAGTCACATTCTGAGAAAGAAAGCTAGGAGGATCATTGAAAATTCATGTTCATGACTACTGCAAAAAGCAATGGTATTTGGAGTCATTCAGACACATGGCACCATTCTAGTTCTGTAATAGTATTTACACAACCTGAATCAAATGACTCAGCTCTTCTGAGCCTTAGTTTTGTCATCCCCCAAACAGGCGTAATAAAATTTCACTTCTTCCCCCATTGGTCAAATTCACAATCTTGCAGAGAATCTATTTCTTCATTTGAATCATGGGAGTACAATTTATACCTGCATTACTGAATTGATATTTGAATGTTAAATATGTAAACTCTAAAACATGATGTGGATCTCAAGGATCATGAATAGATGCGAGGCCTGCTGCATACAAGAGCCCGTGTGAGGTACTGGGGAAGCAGAAGGTAGACTGAGGCCTGCCCTCAGGAGAGAGCTGCTGTAAAAGGGACCCAAGCTTCTCCCTGTCCAAAGAAGAGAGGCCTCCAGGCCAGAGGGAACAGCCCTTGTGGCCTGCAGAGTCCCTGGCACCTGGCGCTCCATGGGGGATATCTGATACTGTCCCCACAGCCACCAGCTGAGAGCTTGTCCAGAATACCAGCCCCAAGGACCCTAGGGATAGAGCTCTAGGATAGATGTTCAATTCTTCAAAATAAACCACGGGAAATCTTAAAGCAAACAAAAGAGCATTGGAAGGAAATCGCTGCACCAACTGAGGGAGGGAGGGGCGAGGATGAGAAGAGGAAAGTTACTAACCGTAGGTTTCTGTGAGTCTATTAAAACTGGATTAAGCAACCCACATGCCCTGGTTTCCCAACCAACCAGCCAGGCCTCCCCTTTCCAGCTCCTTTGTCTTGGTTTGCCTCTTCCTTCTACTGAGAGACTAGAAAATGAGTAAGGCTCAGGAAGAGGTGCAGCTATAGGATAGCTAAGTGTGGCTTTGCATAGAGAAAACTGACTTGTAGAGGCAAGTCCCAGAGAGATCCACCCCGGATTTTGCAAAGAAGGCATCTCCTTCATCACAGATTTTAAGACTTCCAAGTTCAGGAAGAACTCTGCTTCCCTGTTGAAAAGCTGGCACAATGTTCAGAGCAGGGACAGAGTGACAAACCTGAGCCTTTGCTAAAACATGACCCACAGGGACGACGTGGGTCCTGTTTGCAGCCTGAGGCTTGTGATTCTCCTGGTTGCCCTGAATCCAGAACGCTGGCTGCTGAGAGCTGCTGTGCAGCTTCGAGACAATGGGTACGACGGGCTACTCGTTGCTATTAATCCTCAGGTGTCGGAGAGTCCGAACATTCTCCCAAACATTAAGGTGAGTGGCAGATATTTTAAGTCAGTATCAATATCTCATTAGAATAGAGCTCCAGGCTTCACTTCAAAACACTAGCACCTGGCCTGGTGTGTTGCCAAGCGGTAGAAGGAGCCGAATTTTCAGAGATAACACCGAAAGTTATTGTATGGCCAAGCAAACTTGGGACCTAATTCCATGTAGTCTCCGGTCCCAGAAAGTTGACCTAGCCCTCTTTTCTTGTTTGCTACTAATTATTTGAGCTATTTTGCATTCTTTCATGCCTGTTTTTGTAGTTGTAACTTAAAAGAATAGCAACCCATTGTTGGCAGCGAAGGTCAGACATTTTCCCGGAATAAGCATGATAGTGCTTACTAAAATCATATTGTCAGATTCCATCCTGAGCATGAAAATTCCCAGAAAGAAAGAGAGAGAAGATCTGTGGAGAGCCAGAAAGCAACACTCTCTCTCTCTTTTCATCACCTGGAAGTTGTGTAAAGTAATGGGCAATTTCACTTCAGGGCGTTCCCTTTGGCATTGTTTCAGTAAAACAGGGTCATGTAAGGTGTGTCTTGAACGTGCCCCACAGGTATGACAGGAAAAGGATGTGTACTGTAAAAATGTAAACGCCTTTCACCCAACTGGGAAATCATGTAGGCAAGCCCAGACACACAATTTGTGTCCTAAAACATCTTCCAATTGCCTTTTCAAATCTATTTGTGTTTCCCCCAAGTTTTCCCAAAGTCAGTCTGCTCCCATAAAGGTTTACAGTCTCAGAAACCCTTATAAATCCATGGAGAGCCAAAATTAAGGTGACGACAATGACTTTGGGCTTGGGGTTAGTCTCTCAGAGAAATAGGCTCTTTCAAAATATTTTAATTATTCTTTATTACAACTTGTTCAAGTGTAACCAGAAAAGCAAACATGAATGGATGTCTTACACTGCTAAAATAAGCCTTTCTCTTGTTTGGTGATAGGAAATGATAACTGAAGCTTCTTTTTACTTATTCAATGCTACCAAGAGGAGAGTGTTTTTCAGAAATATAAAGATTTTAATACCCACCACGTGGAAAGCTAATAACTACAGTAAAGTAAAACAGGAATCATATGAAAAGGTAAGAAAGACTCCATTACGTGAGCTTAACTTGACTTCAGAGTATAAAGGCAGCTAAAATGTACTGTGTTTAACTTTGCAAATGAGAATTTAAGAAAATAACAAATCACTTATATTACTAGGCAAATCATTAGTCACAAATGTATATGGAAATATAATGGAGGAGCATAAATTTTAAATTAAAAGTCCAAGAAGCCTCTCAGAAGATCTCTTTGTTTTATAACATTCTGAAATTTTTGATTGAGCACCAAGCATTAATTTTATCTTACCAAGTATGATCTGCAAGTAGGAATAATTGCCATTATCACTCCCTACATTGACTATCCTGTCAGGAACAGTAAATATGCAGGCCCAGACAGAAGTATGAGCCACCCACATTTATAAAACCACCCCCATTCACTCATGCCAAAGGATAAATGAGAATCTCACATTAGCCAAAGTGCAGAACACTGTTAGAGAGTAAGGAGAGAAGAAGAAAGTCAGGAAACATATACGGGGGTGGGGTGGGTGGGGGCCAGGAATGCAAAAGGTGACTGACTACCTTTCCTTTTCCAATAGAACTTAACCCTAAAGTACTCTGATAAACCACAAACCCTAATTAAAAGCTGTTCATCAAGTTTGGCCTGCACTAGTATGCATTCTGTAAATAAACATTAGCTAAACTTATTGGGCACCATAGCAAGTTCCTGTGAACTAAAGCAACAGATCAAGCAGGGCCTTGAGCAGAGGCCCTGGATGAACAATCTGGAGGAGAAAACAACGGGACTGACAGTTCCGGGGGGACATGGGAGAGGGGGAGGTGGGGGGAAGGGAAGAGGTGTTAAC